CACAAAATAAAAAAATAAATTAATTTATAAAAAATTATAACATTTTTTATAAACTATAACATTTAATATAATGTATATTTTTTAAATAAAAAAATCCTTCCTACAACCTGCAGCGGCAGAAAGTCTGGGGTATCTCCGTCCAATTAAAAACCCCCCACATCACCCTTTTCTTTTACACCTCATCAACCAGATAACGGAGGGAAAAAAAAAGGCAAAATTAAATTAACTCAGAACGAATTTAACTCACGGGCAAATCTTTTTAAAATAAAGTTCTCAGCACTCTTTTTTCTTCGGCATCTCCTCAGCTCTTCCTTTAGCTTCTTTTTCCTTTTATCATTTTTTTTTCTTTCTAATTTTATTTTTGAACACAGCTACCATATTCTTCTCTTCACAGCATCTCTAGAGACTCAACGGTCATAGCTATTGCAATTTGAGATTGCAATTGCTAAGTTTCTTGGTGAAACTAACTATTTTCTCTCGCTTGGGTATAGCTATTTTTAATTAATAATTTGCAATTGCTAAGTTTTGCTTGTGCAATTTGTGGATGTATGCTTTTTGGTTAATTTGGTTGATTTGGCTGAAGGAAGAATAGTTAGAACTAGTTATAAGAAATTAAACATTTTTCATGCCCACCAACTGTTTGATGTATTTCCTGAGTTAAGATTACCTACAAGGGGACAATGTTTAAGCAAGCTTGAGGAAGATTTTGTTCTGTTTCACAAAATTCCTATGTTTTTGATGTACTTCCTGACTTATAGCATCAACAGGACATTCTTTGTTGGCTGGGATAACTCTATTTATTGATCCTTTATTGAATCTAAATATCATCCTGATTGGAGATAGGTTTAGTGTGCCTTTTCTATGCCATTGGTGATAATATGTAACTTGCATCCATAGCATTAGAAGATGAAATTCTTGCCTTTTCTTGTCAATTTTTTTAGTTTGTTTGCTATGCAGGTCATTGACTTTTGGTTAGCTAAGCAACCTATAAACCCTCAAACCAATGACATATAGATTGAGAATGGGACTGAGATGTAAAGTTCAAAGAAGTTGGCTTTTCATTATCTAGGAATCCCATTCAGGGAGTTAGCCATGGCACATTGACAATTGAAAGAAAAACAAAACGGGTACATCAAGATTCAAGAATTGTTTTGTTTTTTCTTTTCTTTTTTTTGTCAAAAAAATTGTCTTGTATCATTTTCACAATGAAATTTTCTTATATTTTTTTAAGAGAATTGCAATGTATTTTGGCATATTATTTTATTATTAATAAAAGCTCATCTTTTTAATAAAAGCTCATTTATTTAATCAAAAAGTGTTATTTTGATATAAATTTAGCTCTTAAAATAGATTATTATCTAAATATGAGTAAATAGTGCATGCCATTGAAAAAGCCAAAGGAAGAACTTCCAATCTCAAAAGTCATAAAAGGTATTTGTGGATAAAATCATTTGCAATTCTAAAAAATTAAAAAATTTATAATGTCTATTATAACCAATTATAGAAAAAGAACATAAATCCAATTCACAATAGAGTTGCCTAAAGCATAAGGGAATGGAAAGCAAACCTCCTTTGGAAAAGAATCAAGAAGATGAAGGTCCATTTTTTGATTCATAAAAGAAGAGTAAATTAGATGGAATAGGGAAAATCTTCAATATAAATATTTTTGTATTTTTGTATTTTTGCCTATAATTGATTGTAATACCAAAAGTCTCAAAAATAATGAAATGAAAAAAAGAAAGAAAATGAGAGAAGCGGGTAAAGCGGGAAACAAATTTTCTTTTGGAAAAATTGCCGTGAGTTAAATGCTGAAAAAAAAGTCTGCAGAGAATTTCATTTTGGAAAGATTTTCCGTTAGTTAAATTTGCCGTGAGTTAAATTTGGGTTTGCCCTTTGTTTCCCCCTCCATTTGCTGATTGATGAGGTGTTAAAAAAAGGGTGATGTGGGGGTTTTTAATTGGACCGGTGATACCCCAGACTTTCTCCTGCAGCAGACTGCAGACAGGCCCTGCACCAGAGTTGAGTGAAGCTGAGTGCATTTATGTTGGCCGGTAATATGTAGAGGACTTCAACTTTCTCAAAATTACGCAACTGACAATATATGATTGTATGGTTTCTCGTTCTCTGGGTCTTCGTAGACATTCCAGCACCAATGACCCGCTGCCTTCTGTAGCCTTGGATTTGGATTTGATATTATGGCATAATTTTTTTATTTTTTTTGTTAACTAGCACTGTTAGAGGATAGGGATTGTAATTGTTAATATTTAAATTTTAAATTTTTAAATATTATCATTTTTAAAAAAAAGTTATAACCATTGAATTACAATAATAATTGGTGATATTATAATATAATGAATTATACATCCCAAAAAAAAATAGTTTTGATCTTTTCATACCTCTCTTCACTGATATTAAAACTTGAATTTGAGAGTTTTAATATAAAATTTTTAATTTTTAACATGTCTCAAATATATATATATATTAGTCATACATTTTACAACAATTAAGAGTATAAAAACTGAAAACTACAATATTTGGAAACATTACCATAAGAAATAAAACCCTTAGGCCAAGGGTTTGGGCTAGGGGCTGAGGCACCAGGCCCAGCCTAAAATATTAAAATTTTTCTTTAGGTTTAACTATAAAATAACAAATTACAGTATATATATGTTAATTATTAGGTAAAAAGGACAAACCTAAACTTATTTATCATTTATAACATAATTGATTACCTAAACCCATAATTTTTTCTTCCAATTCAAAATATAACTTGATTGTTATAATATCTTTTCTTTTACTCAGGATGTTCTTTTGCAATTATTATTATTTTTTATATATAACATATGATGACAATGATTTATATGAAAAAATATTTTTTTTTAATTTCTCCTTATTAAACTTAAAATTAAAATTTTTAATTTTTAATTTAAAATCTCAAAATTTTAACCATTAATTCATTTCTTCATATTTTTTCTTTTGTAATTACCAATTATTGTAATTGTTAATTGTTTTTGACTTTAGACTTTTAATTATTGAGTATTTGACTTTTAATATTCTTAATAATAATTGCTAATTGATTATTATTTTTTTGATTTCTAATTTATTTGGGAAGAGGCTATGAGTGCTGCGGCTACCGTGTGGAAAAGGGAGGGTGTGGGGGGTAGGTGAAAAGGCTAAAGGCTGCTTCTTGACGGGCTGAGCCAGGTAGGGAGGTTGCAAGGGAGCGGCTATGGGGGGGGAGGAAGCTTGGCCTCGTGCGGGAATACCACCAGTTCAGGTCGGAGTAGCACGCTGAGGAAAGAGGGTTTGGTAGAGGCGCAAGGAGTGGAAGACACGCGCATTTGCGACATGGGATAAGGAGGTTGGCAAAGGAAGGGTGACTGATACAAAATTTTAAGGCGTTTTCGTTAATTTTAAGGCGTTTGATGATGTTCATTGACTTGTTCTTATGCTTATGCGAGGTATGAAGCGCATCACATAAAATAGAAATGTAGTGGTTAAAACTTTAATTTAGTCTTTTTATTCTGATGAAAATTTTTTAAAGTTTTTTTACTTAAAAACAAAGGTCAATCCTTGTGAGGTATCAATATATTACCCATTCAAAGGAGTACCCTCCTCCATCCTTTCATCTTCCTTGGTTTCGCCGTCCGTCATTTTCCCCTCTCTTTTATCATTTTTCTCCATTCAAGCTCGCTTGCAGATCCTTATTCACTGCTTTTTTTTGCAACAGATTTTATCCTTTTTTGCTTGAGCAGTGAGCAGCAGCAACCAGCTCTTACTATGAGCAGTGGCAGCAAATAGATTTCCTACCGCCAGCAGGTGCCTAAGCTGTGAGCCGTGGCAGTGAACAGAAACAGTAAGCAACGGCACCGTAGCGGTCCAAAATCTCTCTCTCCCCTGCGGTAAACCTAAAGTAAAGAAGATTAGAGATCAATTTTATGTTTGAATTTCTGGAAGTTTCTTCTTCAATTTTGTGAAAGTAAAATCGAGATTTCAATCAATTTTACAGAAAAATCATGATTTTACGATTTTATACTCCAATTTTATAGAAATCCGATTTTAACATAAATTTTACTCGAAATCTATACATAAAATTAAAAAATCGTAAGATTTTACGATTTAAAATGTGATTTTGATAATCATCATTGATATGTTAACCATGGCTTAGTATATATGGACATGAATACCTCTTCTATTTAATTTACTAATAAATTTAATTTTGTTTTTTAAAAAATTTAAATAATTAATTT